TAAAACTAGTGATGACACCACCATCTATAAACTACAAAATGGAGTATGTGATGACCTACTCTGACAAGAATACTATGTAACACTGAAAGCACAAGGGATTTACTGAATACGAATGACATAATTTGCATATACTCACATCATTGTAGTCCACACTGGAGTCGTTACAAAGTGAACAGATAGTTGCTAATTCTATCATAGACTCATAATTACCGGGAACCACCTTTGACCCATTTAAAGTTCTGAAAGAGAAAACAAATTCAGTGGGGTAAATAATCAACAAACCAACATCAGCCCAACTTTTTTTTTTATAACTGATAATTCAAGTGTATTCAAATTTTGTGCCAACAAAATGTATTTTATTTCACATAGGATTCATTTCGAACAGGACATTGAACAACATTCATAACAATTTCAAAATTTATTCCAAAACATAGATTACTAATACATAAGAGTAGTTTGGATAATTAGGTTCTGACAATTCTGTTTTTTGGTTCCCTCATAAAAGATACAACATAATGAATGTTCAGATAATTTTTCTCGATAACCCAAAAATATCATGGCTCAACATAAATTAAGGAAATGCTCTGAAGTGAAAGATTTGACCAATATGTATCAAAGCGATCTGTGTTAACACAAGATCATCAAGAACCATCCGTGGAAGATTTTAGAGAAGAATGTACTCACACATCGCCAACGGGATCGTATGTCACGCCACTAATGTGGAATTCATCAAGATCAACTACATCATTTTTGATATCCTTGATGATAAACATCTATCGAAAAAAGAAGAAAACACAATAAAAATTATTAATGATGACAACGACGACAACGACGACAAAGAAGACGACAACGCCGGACAGAAATTTGTCCATTAATATACCTTTCCCTTCAATCTTTGATGGTACAGGCAAGGTAAAAACAATAAATGGCAACATAATATTACAACCAATCAGTCTACCAATTCATGACCTAGGATTTGGAGCCGGGTGAGTAACATCGATTTGATTGCTAATTCAGATCAGTATAATGCACTCTGAATGCAGTGATGCGACTTCTGAGGTAGTTGTATGATATTATAAAACTGAGATGCTTACCCGACTGACAGACATCTGGTTTGTTGTGAGTGTACCAGTTTTATCAGAACAAATTACTGATGTGCAACCAAGTGTTTCTACTGATGGGAGACTTCGTACAATGGCATTCTTCTTGGCCATGCGACGAGTACCTGAGAAAATTAAACTGGATTAGTTTTGAAAATTAAATCATGTGCGCCAACATCAATTCCACTAATAATATGTAGAAAGATGAAAGTAGGACATCATATTTGGCTATATCACATTTTTAGCAAAAGTAACACCATTTTTTGCCTGTTCTGGGATTCCTATTTTTAGTGTTTTTTAACTTTGAAATTGAATAATATCTCCATCATGATGAAAACATTCTAAATACTGAGAAAATGGTCACCATTAACTAAAAAATTTAAAACCACATTCGTACGTTGATTGGAAGTACAATTTAGTCTAAAATGAATAAATCGTGATAATTTTCAAAGAGTAGATTTGTACCTGCATTAAAGCATTTTTCCTAATCCTTACCTAGAGCCAGACAGGTTGTGATGACAGCGGGAAGACCTTCAGGGATGGCAGCTACTGCTAGTGCGACTGCGATCTTGAAGTAGTAAATAGCACCTTTGATCCAAGAACCACCGTGTGAGGGGTCAGAGAAATGGCCAATATTGATAGCCCATACTGCAACACAGATTATGGAAATCACCTGGAAGATAGGAAACACAGAACATACTTTATAGCAAGGAGCTCATTTTATTTTTTGGCAGAGTCTAACTTTTTATATTCTATTTTAGTTTGTTGCAGTAGAATTAAATATACATGTATTAGTGGGTCAATTATTAGGGTTTTACAAACCCGTCTGTTTACCTAATCATACCTACCAGAAAGTCTGGAAATAATAAATTCCATTGACTTTCTGGTAGGTGATGTAGTAAACAAGTCTGAGAGAGTTTTTTTTTTATACCTAAATAGAAAGCGACACCCTCTATTACAAATATGCCTTCTATATTTTTTGGCTGAATATAATGATCAAACTCAGATGTACTGGACCCTGAAAATTGCCAGAATAAATTTTTTGAATAATAATTTTGAAAATAAATCCATAAACTTGATAATAAAACAGTACATGTAATAGAAACCTGGAACCTCCGAACAAAATTCTGAGAGTGTGTAGATGTCAGATGACAAAAGTACAATCACACTGTGGATTTGTATTGGATTTGTTTAACAATGATACTATTTTTTTTAAATCGTGTAAAAAGTATAAAAAAGAAATAATACCATACTTTATTAAAAGCACCCCCCCCCAAAAAGAAGCACACATAAACACATTAAATGTGCTGTAATGCTAGATCAATGTAATATTACTTATATCAACCATAGACATGCCTCTTCTGTTATTAATATATAACAGCAAACAAATCTGAATTCATTCCAATTACTTAAGTGCACCCAATACCCTTTTGCACAATTACCCCAATATATCACAAAGCTAAATGTATTTAAAACAGTCGTATTTCGTTTTACAGTGAATAGTCAGCTGTCTGACACTTTGCAATGGATGCGACAGATACTGCTTCCTTTTCATTTCCTTCCTCAATAAAGTTAGGTATCATGTTGCTAACGGCAACATTATATAAAAGATATATCTGAAGATGGGTTTAAATAAACGGCATTGAATAAATTTAAAAAATTTCAAGGTTGAGATGCATTTATTACGAACAACAAGATCAAATTTAAATCCATAATTTGAGGTGTAAACCCACCTTCGAGAGTTGTTCACCAAACTCGTCTATTTTCTGCTGGAGCGGCGTTCTTTCCGTTTCAGTTTCTGTCATTTGTGTTCTGATTTTGCCTGTAAAACAAAGTCGTGATTGTTGAAAGCTATTAGTTTGTTTTCAGTTTTAAGATTTCTACCATTGCTGTAGAAATTAACATATACATAAGATGCAGCTTATCTTGCCTCCAAATATGGGCAATGAAATAATTTAGAGGTCAATCATAGAATTGGCAGCAAGCTGCATGCATTCAAGGAGTAGACATGCTCAGCTGATGAACAGCTCTCACTAGACCCCTTAACTTGGTCATGTTTAGCAACAACACCAACAGACACTGAACAGAAATAAAAAACATTTCAGTTTCAAAGAAAATAATCTTTTTATATCTTCAGGACAGACAGATGGATGGATGGATGGAAATGTACATTGTCTGCGCAAAAAGTGGGTCAGGTCTCGTACATAATAAAAGTCAACTAGCAACACTACCATTGTTAAAATTAAATTTTTCACAAGTAATTTATTACATGCATTCATAACAATGTATCTGATTAACTATTCTGAAAATTTATTTACTACATTTGGGAAAATGAACTTTTTGAATATGTCAATAATTTTTATAGCTTCCCAGCTAAATAAAAGCAAAAATGTAACAAAATTGCTGTTAAAATTTCAGGACTTTGTCAATCAGAAACTATTGTTCAGGACCAACCAATAATAAATTTTCTATGCGCTAAAAAAAACCTGCAAGGCAAGTTGATGAAAGCATAACCTAAATATGGTAATTGGAATAAACCATTATACATACAGGAATGTAAGGATGGGAAAGATGATCAATATTTGGCAATTTCACATGCAAGCAAAGTTTGTAAACTTCTTACCAATTTCTGTGTTTAATCCTGTTCCAAAAACTAAACCAACACATTTTCCAGATGCTATATTCGTACCCTGAAATTAACACAAAAACATGAATTAAAACATGCTGCTATGATACATTTATTTGTAACCATTTTTAATTTCACTATTTTAACATTACAGGGCATATTATATTCACTAAGGTTCCCTTATCTGAAACACTAAAACATTTTATTTGAGGCATGTTTTTAATGAAATTTGAACACCATTTTTTTTTTTCAACCAGAATTTTTGAGCAACATTTTCCTATAATTTATTTGTAAATTTTGGGCCCAATGCATCTAATTTTCCATTGCTAAGAGTCCTTGATCAAGAACTTTAAAAAGCTACAAGCAAAAATTGGGAAAGGTTTGCGCAAGCAGTGAAATTTCAATTCTGTACAAGTCAACGCTGAGGAGTAGGAGTAGGAATTTAGAAAGTACATTAAGCCTCATACTGCCATTTTAACCTGTTCTAGGCACAAGTTTCCGAATAGTTTTTAAAACTATTTGATCAGTGATCAGACTAGCTACGAAACATACATTGTAAAAAAGCAATTTGTATACAAGTACATCAACCCAGAATAAAACTCTGGGCGCCCCAGGCACATGCTACTATATCAACTATTTGTAACACATGGAGCAAATTTAAGAGATGTCTGGGGTCAAAATTAATCAAATTTAATAAAACCAATATATAATATAGATTTTATTTTAAGCAAACTCTAAATCATAATCCACATTCCATTTGACAACTAAAAATGACAATTTGATAGTTACTTTAATGCATTCAATTTATAAATTAAGACGATTTGACAAAGCATATCGCAGCAGACAAGAGACACGCTACGGCAACTTTAATGATATAAATCATACATGATTTAATATAGAAATGGGCAGACTGAATAAATGACTTCAAGATACAGTAGCAGAGTGACATACAAAGGTACAACCACACTACCACGTTTTATTCAGATCATTATTTGCTATAAGTGGGTTAGTTTGTCCACAGAAATTCACTCGCCATTGTAAAACAGATTTTCTTCATAATTTTCATTAAAGATGTTTTATATTTCAAAATTGGTAGGGGAAAACGGGCATATCATACAACCATAATGGAAATTCTTGTGTTACTGAAGACATCTATGAAAAGCAATCTAATTCGTCTTAAAATTGAAATGTGTAAATTATCAAATTGTTTAACAGTTTCAAAAAACACAAATTTTATAGTTAATAAATTCAATGTTTTCACAAATTTCACAAGTTTTTCATCAACATAATGATTCAATATTATGGTCACTCACAATTTAACAATAGCGATAAATGTTCATTACTTACCGAAAACAAGATGTTCTTTTTATCTTGATTTACCGCCCTGGGGTCTGGAATAGGTTCTGTATGTTTTATAACACTCACGCTTTCACCTGTAAGCAATCATATGCAACAAGTTGATAGAAAACCTGTCTTAGCAAGCACCAAAGTAAGAACTATTCGGTTTACAGAGGTTTGAGAAGTATTAACAGTCTACATTTCTCCTACGTAAGCAGTAAAACTCAATGCCAGGAGATTTAGTGATAATGAGCATTTAAATCAATACTTGGAAGAGCTGACAATCAAAGAAATCAGCTCAAACAATATCACCCTCCACTCAAATGGATAATCATGCACAATTTCACACGTTTTATCACTTACCGGTAAGTATAGCTTGATCGGTTCTTAACGTCGTTGATCTGATAGTTATAAGACGAACATCCGCTGGGACTTTGTCGCCCACTGTAAAATAACATTTAAAAAAAAAATTATTTTCCACCATACGAAAAAAAATCTATAATATTTTTTAAACATTTTATTGATCTACCTGTATGTGCAAATCAACCTCAGTCATTGAATTATATATTAAATGCGGCTCTGCAATCACAGGTATTGCACCAGTGCTTCATGGGAAATTTTGCATGGTCCACCCAGCTGTTTAATTGGTAGACAGCTGTTATCATTTCAACCAAAGATATTTCATAAGGCAACATCATGCATTACGCTATTATCTGCCTTTATTAAAGGTCTTGAATATGGGCAGCCATACATTTTTTTTTACGCAATGTTGTCGGCCACCAATCATTTCACTGCGGGGATACACTTCAGGGAACATAACATTTTTTTGGAGGATCTTTCAAATTAGTTTTATATAATTTGTTAATTTTAAATTGCATTATATAAAATTCGCCAGTCACATCTGCCAGTGAACTAATCTAGGCCAGTACGACTGAATCGTGCTTTCCCCATCGTTTTTACGTGGAAATCACACTGACATTGTTCTGAACTTATAAATTAACGTCACCCTTGTATCGCGGATATATTCAGGTTTGTGTGCGACATGAAAATAACGTACCACAGGTGTCAAGAGCACCTCGATAAGATGTTTCACGTTTGAGCGTCATTTGCATACTGAAAACTGGCGGCCATCTTGCCTTTTAAACACCCAGAGCCACGGTTCAAATTTGGGTTTTACTGCATCGCTAATACAAGTCCAATTATAGTTTGATGTAGTATCAAATTACAGTCTAATTGTTGGAAATCAGGATAAAGTGATCAATAGACTTCCATGATTAATATCAAGCATATCATGCAACTTGATATGCACATCATTTCGAGTCTTACACATGAGGACTGCTGGGCAGATCAGATAGCTTGTGGGGGTACTACCCGGTAAATACAGACACTGACATGAAACTTATTTGAGATGAATATTCTCAAATTATGCATGGAAAGGAAAATGACCAGACCAGAAAGATTGTAGGTATTGTCGCTTTAATTGGAAATTGCCACTGACAGCCATACAGCAGTACAGCATAGCAAAAGCATTATGTTACAATCAATTATTCTTTCTATATCATGAAGAGCAGCCCCTTGCTGTTACTTGCTTAGTGAAAGTAACAAACTTTATTCAAGATTTAAATTTAGGAACAGGGCCATCAATGGACAAACATGCAACGCTTGGAAAATGCAGACATTAATTTATAAATGCATTGCAAGACATGAATTATATTCCCGACATTAATTACAACAGTTGTCGAATGTTAAAATTTTATTCTGTTTCTTGGATTTTTCTTCCTCGGGGACATACTTAAAGTGTAACTGAATTGGGACAATTGACTTTTTTTGTGTGCAAAATTTATTTATAAACAACATTATGAAAAAAAATCAAGTGAAAAGGGTATATAAATTGGGTAAACAGTCGATGATATTCCGAAATCGCGCCACGCCCCCCTCTCCCATCACCTTCGAGTTTTTTCGGCATTACGAGTGTAACCGAAATGGCGCCACCAACGGGAGCATAAAGCATGAGCTAGCTAGCAGACAGGATTGTTTATCATTTTCCATACGCACGCGTTTCGTAAACAT